AACACACGCACAAACAATGCCTACACAACCTTTCTTCCACACCTGCACCATCTCCACGATGTCGTCGATGTGCTCGGTGGCGCGGGGGTATCGGGACGCCGGGATGATGTTGAGGGACTCGAGGTCGTCGAAGAACAGCTTGGCGTACTTGCCCGTGAGCTCCTCCAGGCTCACCCCGTCGCGCGCCATTCGTGCGATGATCTTGTCGTCCACGTCCGTCAGGTTGCACACGTGGTCAACCTCGAAACTTGGTGGGACAAGGGACCACGAACGCAGACGTATATTGGGGGGGGGTGTACTCATAGTCATGCACGGCGTAGTCGTTGGACTATTGACCTCGCATCCCTACAAAGCCGGGACAGGGGGAGTAAGGCAGTGAACGGGGCGTGCTAGAGACCGCTTGGGATTTCCCTCATTCACAAGTATCACGTTTTCAGCTTTCCGCGAAAACTAAGTAGCAAACACGGAGACACTTCGTCCGCATTTCTCGCTGAAGTATCGCCGCCGCCCATGACAACATCCGATTGCGTTGGGCAGAGGATCGAGGCCGGCACCGAGCGGCTCTGTACCTCTTTCCTTCCCCAACTTTTCTGACGGTGTGGATGTATGCGTTATACGTCTTGACTTGAATCTCGAAAAGCACGCAGGATACTTCATTGGGGCAACCGCACTTTCCTCTTGAGCCTTCCGCGGGTTGTGTCTGGAACTCTGGAAAACCGCCGGAAACTTGGGGCACCTGCGTATATTGACGTCGCAATGGCGTCGCACACCTTGACCGAAATTCAACAGCAGGTACGCCCCCGCCCCCACACTCACCCCTGGTAGAGCAGCCATCGCTTGAGCACGTCGTACGTCAGGAAGGCCCTAAAGTTTCCGATGTGGGCCATGTCGTACACGGTTGGGCCGCAGCTGTAAAATTTCACTCTCCTGCCAAGCCGATTCCGCCGCCCGCCGTGTACCACCCAATCCGAAGCGAAAAGCGGAAGAGAGAAGAGTGAAAAGAGGAAGCAGTCAGCCGCAGGAATCACCAACAGCGGTGAATGGCCAAAGCGTATGCAGAAGCGACATAACACGCCATATAGCGATGGTGGTGCCGCTGGTCTCGTAACACACCCACAGTTTGTCTGAATAATAACCCAAAATCTTGCCTCCTGTCCTGGGGGCGAAACCGTTCCTTCGTTCGTCCCTCGGTGTTGAACAGCATCAGCCCCGACTCCACCTCCGCCCCGGCGCCCCCGGCGCCCTCGCCAGCCCCGCCCATCACCAGCAACGACGATGACCTCGGTAGTGACGACGTTCGCCATCGCCACTCCCCACTACCGCCGGCTACGCCGTTGCCCCCCGCTATGCTTCGCGCCCGAACTCTGCTGTGCCGTCGATGGTGGATGTCGCTGCCGACTACCCCGCTACTGCCGCTATGTCTAGCGGTAGTAGGTAGCGTATTCTGCTGCCCCTTTTGCGGTAAGAAGCACGAGGAGCGCGGGCTGGTAGTACGGACGTCGCTTGCTTGCAGCCGGCATTGTTGCCGCTGCTCGTAGTGGCGGCACGCCGTCCGATAAACAGATGGGCCTTGGGTGACGAAAGCGGAAGCTGCGGTCGGCCACGATGACGCAGTCTGGTTTGTCAAGAGAGGGGGGGGGGG